CATAATTAAAGTTAAACTAGATGGCTGCTAAGTTCATTGCTCTGAGAAAAAAAGAATATAGCATCCAAAAGGAAAATGCACAAAGTATCTGCATCTACAATCTCACCTGTAAATAGTTCCGGAGTATGTTTTGTGCTTCATTGGAGAGTATGTCATGCAGTACACTGAATATCTGAACTGCAGGTGCTAAAGCTGGGGCAGCACAATCTGATATGGGACCAAATAGGTCAGACAAACCAGTAGGAGAATTCTCATCCAAGGACTTGTAATTTTCAAACACAACTGCAAGGAGACTCTTGATCCGATCTTCGCAATCTAATAGTATGCTTCTCTGCAACAAATAAAAAATAAGTTTCCATAATTATTTTATTCTTTACATTTTATTGGAATCAAGAATTATCAAAATGTGTTTATTTGCTGGCATGCTACAGAACATAATTATATATTTCAATTGCTATATCTGAATTCTTGTTAAATGGAAGTATATATGAAGTAAATTTAGCTAACATATTACCTCTTGTCTCGTCAAAGTCCTATCATCACGTGCTTTCATTACAGGGAGAAGCAGTTCATATGCAAGTTCCAAGCAATCTTTTGTTGGTGTTGCAACATTCAAAATGTAAGACAAGTATCTGTAGAAAGTAAGATGCAACGTTAGCATGTTTTGGTATATTCAGTAACCAATGAGTGACTGTATGCAACCTAAAACAACATATCACCTCAATTTTCTATATGCGTCTGATACCCCATAGTAATCTGAAAACTCGTCCAATAGCCATTTCCATGAACCACTGACATGCAACATTTTGCTATTGAAATTCTGAGCTCTCATTGCTGCTTCCAGAACCATGTCATATACAATAGTATCCACAGCTGGACCGCCTTGCAGCATCTATAATGACACCATGCAAAAGTTTAGAACATATGTTGGAATTTTTGGTCCAAAAATATACGAGCATGAAAATAATAGACCAACCTTCGCAGCTCCTTGATTGTCAGAAGAGACAGAGAAGTTTATACAAAGCTGAATTTTTCCCACGCATTCTTGATCATCAAGATATAAAGGCCACCACTTAATGATTTCCTCCTGCTGTTTTTTTTCCCCACAAACGTGCCAAGTTGAGAAATGGGTTCATGAAACAATTGCTCCAAATGAAGGTGAGCAACGAGCAGGACATACATGAGTATCAGTGATCGATGAAACTTGAATTTTTGCGCGGCCTATGACAACCCTATTATTGTCTTGTACTTCGACAAGAATAGAATCCCCCTGGCTCTCTAGATAACTGGAACATATGTATTAAGATGATTAAATAATGTTCTGAGTAAGTTGCGTACTTAATAGATTGGAGTAGCAAGTGTACAAAAGAATCATAACTAGGCTAGGACTTACAAGAGTTGAGATTCACCAGTGCCTGGTTTCAAATATTGTGGAGAAATGGAATCTCTCTGGTTATCCTTGCAGGAGCTTTGCAATTCTAGCGTGCATGTGAACATTTCTGCAAGTAAGATATTGTGTTACTGATTGTGGCAACAAGATCTAGCAGAAGGTGCAGAACAAAAGAAAACTGTTAACCTTCTGGCAAAGATGTTGATGATGTGGATGTCAACATGGTAACCTGACTCTTCAGGATTTTAGAAATCTGTCTGACATACTCGCTACCAGCTTGCATGTACAGATTTCTAAAGGATGATGTTGCCCGAAGCTTTGGTCTTTGAGGTACAACACGTATTTTTTTTACTGTATGGAATGAAACATTAAGAATGTGAGTGCAAAAAGCGGTTTAAAATTTGGAACCACGCCTAACTAATCATAAATTCACAGTTTTGCTAAGAAATTTAAAAAAATGCATAATGTACATGAAAGATGGCCCATACTGAAGTTCTTGATGAACGATTGTGCGTACCTTCAATCTCAATCTGTTTAACAAGTTTTCTTCCCTTCATATTGCAACTCCCGTCCTTATCATAGATACTTTTTCCGTCATCTTGACTCTTGTGCTTGGGATGAAGCAAAAAACTCTGTATCCTATTCATCAAAAGGAGGAAAATAAGCTGAGCAAAACAAGGAAAGCAAATTGGATGCTAGTTTACTGGGAACATAATGTCATGAATGATATTTTGCATACCCAAAGGCGCTTCTCAGTACCATACACTCATCACGAAGGAATTCTGGAGCCTCCATGCAGTTTCTTGCCCATGCATTCAGACAGATCCGAAAGCACGCATCATATGCAACAAAAGATTGCCATGCACTTTGGACACTGATAATTTGGAAAAAAAAAAAGACCAGTAAGAACAGTGAGCAGATGAACAACATCTTCAGGGGGTAAGTTCACAGGTAAATCAAAACGCACTTAGCCGTGAAACTCGGCATCTGAGCTAACAAATTGCTCTCGACGTACGGCACATGAACACCATCTTCTTGAACATTTGATCTGGATTGTTTTTTAACAGAAAAAGAACGATGTGAGCAAGAACAATTTCATAGCGTAAAAGCTAAAATACTCCAATTTTCAACCACCAACTGACAACTGTACCTCGTAGGAAGCTCAGGCTCATGAACATCCTGGGCCAGTATATCTGCCACTGATGATACCCCAGCCCTTTCAAGGCCTCCTTTCGTTTCAGCTGCTTCCACATGATCAGATAAATCATCTCAAATCTCAACCACTTCTTCAAGGTCAAGGAAATGATCCAGAATACAATTCCACTATAAAGTAAACACTCACCAACAGTGTCAAAAATGGCCTCAACCCCATCTCCTGCAATTGGAGGGGCACTTGGTGTCCCAATGGCTTGAAATTTTTGCTCACCAAAATAATGTTCCTGAATAAGAAACCATAAATTTGCCTTTTATCTTCACAAACACAAGTGCACAAACTATGCTAACTTCGAATTTCCCCAAGCACATATAAGCTTCCAGAAATCGATCACAGTTAAATTATCATCAATGATCACAGTGAGAGAGTAAAACCCTTACATGCGAGGTGGAATCCACGGTATTGTTGCCGCTGGAGCATTTCCCGGCGAAGGCGCTCGCGGCCCGCACCTCCACCCGCAGGTTCTCCTTGGACTGCCCGCGAACCAACCCGCCGCCCCCGCCCCTCCGGCTGAGCTGCGAGGTGACCTCGTCGTCGAACGCTACCCCGCCGCGGTCCATGGCCCTCCGGAGCAGGCTGGAGTCGCCGCTGGAGCACGCCCCGTCCTCCTCCTCCTCCTCGAGCGTGTCGGAGAAGTTGCCGTAGTAGCAGTCATCGGGCACCCCCCACGACGCCACGCTCTCCTCCCCTTCCTCCCCATCCTCCTCCTCGGAGTCCGCCGCCGCGAGAAGCACGGAGTGGTGGTGCCGCCCAAGCAGCCCGGAGTGCCGCGCCGTGGTCCGCACCGGGGGGAGGCTCTTGGGGGAGAACAGCCCATTCCCCACACCTCCGCCGACGCCGACGCCGACGCCGGAGCAGCCCCTCCCGTACAGCGCGGGGCTCCTCGGCGCCGCGATCTGCCCCGCGGGCAGCCGCTCCGCCAGCGGCGACCTCGGCGGCGGCGGCGCAGGAGAGCCCGTGCCCTGCTTGATCCAGCTGATCGCCGACTCGTCGAGCCCCTCCGTGAACATCATCCTCGCGCCGCCTCCGGTTGCGTGGTCGCCGGATTGGGGGATTGGCGAATTGGTGGTCTCGGATTCGGGGATGGATTGGATTTGGGAGTGGATTCGATTTGGGGATGAATTGGAGAGGGGAGGAGAGGGAGAAGGGGGTAGTAGTAGTAGTGGGGGGAGGGAGGAGAGGTGGTCGGCGAGGGTAGTGGGCGAGGTGGGGGGTTGTAACGGCTAGTTTCTCGGCGCGTGGTTGAATGGATCTTGCTGAGCTGGATGGGCTGAGCTGGGTTGTGGGGCCCATTTGTCAGGCAGAATGGGCTTTTGGGGCTTTGGGCCGCCAGTTACAAACGGGACTAGTGTTGGGATTTCCCTTTTATTGTTGCATGAAAACTGAGGTCCTATTCTTTTTAGCTACTTCATTGGATTATTAAGTGATTATTTGGTCCATGTATATTAATAAAAATAATCTAGGAAGGCTTTCATCCAGGGTTCACAACACCGATAGAGGATCAAAATTCGCTCACAAGTGGTACCATCGGATTTCATGGAATCAATTCATAAACAGATAAAAACTTATGAAGTCCGGATAAATCTTGTGAACAAAATTAAAATCCATTTTTAATTTTGTTAACTTGATTGAAAAATCGAGTGGTTTATGTTTTTGACTCGATCCGGAAAGTTTGTGAACCCTGCTTTCATCTACTGTTGTATTGGTTAGAACACTGGTTCTAAGCTATCGATAAGTTTACTTTTATAAATATTCAATTTGTCCATACAATCGAGTGAATAATCTGTTGAATAGTATGTTCTAAACTGAGCCTAAATGTTCTCTTGCAAATTTTTATAAAACTCTCTTTTCTCAATTTTCCTGGGTATCAAACAAAATATTTCTCACGGATGTTTGCAAAAAAAAAAAGCCAAAATATTTTCAGCAGCATCTATAGAATTTCCTTCTGTAATTTTTTAATATAAAATTTGTGGTGGTTTAGGTGTCACACTCCTGGAGTTTTGCGTTTATGATGTAGTACGTTGGTAGGCTAGGTGTCCTTGTCCTTCCTGTTCCATCCCTTTTCCATTCTTTCTCTGCTCCGCTCCAAAAATTTCCATGTCCCATGAAGGCAGCAGCTATAGGGACAGGATAAGTTTGCCTTCAATTCCAACCAACTCCAGAAGAAATTAAAACATCGTATTAGTTCTTGAATTCTTCTAATTGCAACTTGGAGAGTACTTATTTGACTTGGTCACTCTTGACCTTGGCTTCCAATTTGCAAATTGTCCTCAGTTAAGCATGATCAAATTTGCATAAAATTGTGATTTATGTGTACCAATCATCTATGCCTCTATGCAGTCAACACTAATCCAAATCGATCTAGCTAGTGATTAATTAGCACTAATACTAACAAACTGAGAATCCAAAGATGATGATGATTATTATTAGACTTAATTACAATTTACAGTAACTCCATCTCATTACAGTTAGTAATTTGTTCCTCATGCCGTGTAGTAATTGTAGTACTAGGTACAAGCAGAGTAGGAGCAGTAATTATTCTCTCATTTTTTTTGAAGAAAAAAAAAGGAAGAAAATTAGCTAGCCGTACGGATTTTCAGAGCAAAGCCGCCGCCGCGAAGCTCCATGTACAGTTCGCCGGCGGCGAGCGATCGCCGCAGCTAGCTTTAGCTGGCTCGACGCCGTACGTCGACGGCGATGATCAGGAGAGGTAGGTGCCGCAGACGCAGGCGCCGGAGCTGCGGCCGCCGCAGCCGCAGCCCCTGCCACCGACGAACACCGGTCCGGAGGAGGAGCGCCGCCGCCGCCGCCGCTCCCCGCCGGGGGAGGCCGCGGCGAAGATGATCATGGACAGCACGGACAGGCAGAGGATGACGACGCAGAACACCACGTCGCCGCCGCCGACTCCGGCCACCACCACCGCCGCGCCGCCGTGGGGCTCGAACACCAAGCTCGCCATGGCCACCAAGCTCGCTTTTGCTCGCCGCCGATGAGCACCAAGACGACTTGAGACTTGAGAGTCGTCTCGCTCGCGCGCTTTTTATAGGCGATTTATTATTTTATTTCCTCTCGTAATAAATGCTCCAGTTTTATTTTCTATAAAAGAATTATACACATAGACCCCTCAACAATACTTTCTCCGTTTCAGGTTATAAAGACGGTTTCAAATTTGACTAAGTTTATAAAAAATATATTCAATTATTAATTAATGAAACTAATTTAGTATTATAAATATTAATATATTTGTCTATAAACTTAGCCAAACTTAGTTTGACTTTAATCAAAGTCAAAACATCTTATAACTAAGGGAGTATATTTTTGTGAAATGGTACTGAAATGCTTTTTTTTACGAAAGTTTGAGATTTGGTTGGAATACAGGGTCGGTTGTGTAAAATCTGTTGGTATTTGGTTTGTGAATATTTGTCATGTGGGGGCTGCCATGATGGACACCATCATCAGATTCCGTTTTGTTAGATGATAACGACGGCTTAATTGATTGATAACCTAATACTACAAAAAAAACTGGTACTACCACTCTACTCTAATTAGTGACACATTATTCGGTGCTAATACTAGAAAATTGCTACAGATAAGATACGTTTCCTTCACTGTCGGCATTATTAAAATAAATAAATAAAAGCACACGGATGTTGTTGATTGCATAAGTCATTGCCGTCCAATAATTAACTAAGTCTGTCCGTTTGAATGCAATGTTGTCACGCCGATATCGTCAACTAATAACGCTGTTCCCTTATGTAAAAGGCTATGTATGTGAGCTTTTCTTTTACTAGGTGAAACCCCGTATGCTACTGCGGAAGTTCAGTGTAATAACAATAAGTAAAAATAATGTGTAAGATAGCTAAACAATATAAACTTATATAAGCACTAAAATCAATTGATATGATATGGCTTAATTAGATAGGAGAGAAATAACATTAACCAAGTGAGATAAACTTATATAGGTACATAAGATATTAGAAAAAAATAATGAAGATATATATTGAAATATTTCGTGAATTATATGGGATGATGATTTAACATGCTTTCATTTTAAAAGCTCTAAAATGTAATAAATTTTAAATTATAGATAATATATCATGTTTGCATGATATTAAATATATGACTGTTAGTGGATGATGATGTGTCAACTTGTTAGTGGATGATGACGTGACATCTTTGTATGTTAAGGTTTAGCAGTTAGTGGGTTATAACTTTATAGTAAGATAGGATTTATAGAACTCTTGCAAATTTTGAAGTGGCATACTATAAGTAAATTTAGATTTCATGTAATTTGAATCTAATTAAATTTAATGGTTTAAACATTGTTTCTAAAGGTTCTTTTAAAGCACGGGATTAAAAAAATAGAGCATTAGGAAAAGCATAGTATTTCATCATGAATGCAAATGCAAAACACATTAAGAAAACACGAAAATCATATGAAATAGATAAATTGGGAGGAAATTTTTTAAGAGATTGAAGCTCTTGCTAATTTCCTCCAAAATCTCTATAGGATTTTTTTTATTCTATAGGAATTTCGAAGGAAAATTTGTAGAATTCAATCCTTTGTTTTTTTTCTATAGAATTGAAATCCTAAAACTCCTATATAACAAAAAAAAGCTTAAGAGTTTTCTAAAGAAAAATATTAGATACAGCGTGTAAAGAAAAAGAGTCTTGTACTGCTGCTGCTGCTAAGAATTTGTGGGAGAACTGCAAAGAAAATAGCCGCGGTTAATTAGACCCTCTTTGTTTAGGCTTAGATTTATTGGCCTAGATTTTTAAGTCAGCTTATTGGCTTATATGATTTATAAGCCAGTGGATTTAATGTCCTAAGTTTAGTGGTGGAGTCATACATCTATCTCATATAAGCCAAAAAAAACTTCTCCAACCTAGCTTTTGACTTAATAGTGTTAGAGTGGCTTATGACTTCAACCAAACCAAATAAAAAAACTGCTTGTTTGTTTTGTCTTAGACTTTTCGATTTATAAATTGGCTTATAAGACTAAAGGCCTTAGTATAGTCAAGAACGGACTTGACTTTGTGGTTAGGGTAGGATTAGTGGAAGCTTTTGTCAATATTGAGAGGCGCAGTGATTGGTTGACTGGATGAGAGTAGTAGTAGTTGACACTGACACTTTAGCGGTTGGGAGGGAGGCGAGTAAATAATTTACTCATCAGTGTGGTTGCCAGCCTACCAGCCGGCCGGCCGCCAGGACCAAAACCAGCGGACGTTTTCGAGGGGCGCAGCTCCGGGCTTTGGCTGCCTACCGTCTCGTGGATGGGCCTTAATTTGATTCGTTCCAAATTTGGAAGCCCAACTTAGATTTAATCCGGGATACGTGGGCCAGCATACGAAGTCTGCAGGAATAAGTTCACTTTAGGTTCCTTAATTTGTCACCGAGTCTAAAATTCATTCCAGCATGACAATACCAGATATGACACATTCCTTAACTTTCAAGACCAGTACAAGTGATATCCACGGTTTGGATGGTAGTTTTGAATGATGCCTACGTGATGTTGACTTGATACAAGTGGGACCCACATCTCCTCCTCCCCAATCCCCCCTGCTCAAGAACATGCCAATGCTCATGGTCTTCATGCCCTTGGGGCACTCGTGCAAGAAGAAGTCTAGCTGCCGATGTATGTGAAGGCCTCGCCCGCACCAAGATGAACTGCACCAGGAGAGAAAATACGGACAGCGTGATACCCGAGACGGCGACGCTGCTGCACGCTCAGTGAGCGTGGCAACGACCATGGTGAGGGTGGCAAGGAGGGTACGGGGAGATTAGGGAGGAGGAGATGCGGATCATACTTGTAATTTTCTTTATTTTTAACTGAATAATCACTTACATGTGGGTCCACGGTTTTCTCTGCTTTTAAGTGCTACGTCAACGCTACGTAGGCATCATGACATGCGAAACCACCATCCAAACCATATTGGGATCTTATTTGCATTGGTTTTAGAAGTTGATGAATGCATCATATCTAATATTGCGGTTCATAAATGAATTTTAGACTCGGTGACAAATTAAATAGCATAAAGTGAACTTATCCAAGTCTACTTGTAGCACGTGTGTTTTGTGGCTGAATTAAGGATTTATCCTCTTGGCTCACGCAATGACGACAATACATGTCAATAACAACTCAAGACCATGTTATTTTGTGGGGTTTGGAACCCTTTATCTTGGTATGCAAAACAAGAGGTGGATCAGTGTACAATTAATTAAGCATATTAACTAACAAAACTTGGAAAACAAAGTAATTTGATTTTTCAAAATATTTTTTCTATATAAACTTTTTTAAAAGCGAACCAATTAGCAGTTTAGACAAACACATGTGTGCAAAACTAAGAAAGTGGAAGTTTAAAAGGGGAGAAAATAACCCATAAAAATTCCTTCAATGAATTTAGTAAAGAGGAACAACTTGCTTTACAATATTTTTGGATTCTTTTTTCACTGACACATAAAAGGATTGCACATTATATTAGAAAGGGCAAATGTTCCTTTTCATATGGTTGTTTAAAAATTGAACTAGCTGAACATGCGACAGCTGAATCCGGTGGAATCAAACAAGCATCCACTGTATTTTGCATTTGAATTCCAACGAAATACAAACCCACAGCTAAATACAGGAGCAAACAGTAAATGTTTCACAAAACAGCTCGAGTTCTAACAAAAAAAAAACAAAATTCGCACCCCCAAACACGACCAACAAAACAAAACAGAGCATAAACAGAAAGCAAAACGAAAACCGGGTAAATAATTTCAGATTTATTCCCTCCAAAAAAAACCCAACCTAAGATGGGGTGGAATATATTCTAGCACAATGCCCGTGTTTATTTCACGCCAAAATTGAATGTTTGGTTGAAATTGGAACGATGTGATGGAAAAATTGAAAGTTTGTGTGTGTAGGAAAGTTTGATGTGATAAAAAAGTTGGAAGTTTGAAGAAAAATAAGGCCAATGTATCTGGATAGATGTAGTATGTTTTAGGTTAGAATTTTTTTTTAACGGAGGGAGTAGATTGGATAATGCGACTTTCTTTTTTTCTCAAACCAAGTAGGATTCTTTTCCACTTCTCCAAGCAAAACCAAGGAAGGAGGCAACCTGAGATTTGACACCCGTAGACTCTCCCCCGAGCCCAAGCAAGGCAAGTCCCCCACACCACTTCCCTTCCCTCTCTGCAGCCGAGGCGGCGGAGGAGAAGAGGAGCTCGATCGATCCCCCCCACCGGCGGCGGCGGGCGAGATGAAGGTCACCGTGATGACCGCCGACGAGCAGATTCTCACCGTCGACGTCGACCCCGACGAATCTGTAAGCCCCCCCGCGCCGCCCTCCCACTCGTCTCGATCTCTGTAACTGGGGGGCGTCAATCAAGACGGGTTCCTTTTTGGGACAAATTCGGTTCATCTAGTGGCGGAATTCGTTGGGAATTCGGGTGCGGAGCGGGCGCATTTGAGTTGAGAGGCGGTCAGCGATTCAGTTCTTGTGGTGTGTTGGATCGTCGGTTGGTGTACGGATTGGATGGATCTTTGACAGGCTTCGGTTGTTTGGTTTGGTTTAGAGCGTCAGTCCCTTCGTCTTCCTCGTGCTCTTGGTATAATATGGTTGTAGAGCTAGATTTTGTAGAATACCTTGGAACTGAATTGTGGTTTAGAATGGGAAAGATGCAGTTTTTGGCTAAATTGTGCGTGCTGTGTTCTTGCAGGTGGAGAATTTGAAGGCGCTTCTTGAGGTGGAGGTGAGCTGGGACTGTAATCTTGTGTGAGCTATGTGTTTAAGGCTCTGCAGCTACTGGGTTTGATCTCACTGTTCTCACATTGTTGGTTTTTTGGCTGCTTGTGGACAGACTAGTGTGCCTTTGCGGCAGCAGCAGCTTCACTTCAATGGCAGGGAGATACAGAACACGGATAAACTTAGCACCGTCGGAGTCCAGGATGGCGATCTTGTGATGATGGTGAAGGTTACCTCTAATGAAAGGTCTGCTTGCTGGCATTCCTCGTGCATAAAAAGTAAATTGATTTGCATGACATATACTTGTAAAGTTTTTTAATTGAGTTACTTAAGAGTTTTACATTCCGAATTGAATTACTTAAGAGTTTTACATCCTTCAGTTCAATTCTGGTCTTACTGGCAGTTACCTCCTTTGTAGTTGTCCAGTATTACTTTTTGCGCAATAAAGGATTTTTAGTTTGTTAAAACTGATGCTATGAATCGCGATGCCACTAAGGTTTCTTTTCTCCAATTTAATTTGTCTGGGTTGAAAATTTCAGGCCATCTCAGGATATTATAAGATTAAACCCTGATGGATCTGCTGTTGATCCTCAAGCTTTCCGACAACATATTCGAGGTGATTCACAACTTATGGGACAACTCCTTCAGGTAAATTTTACTGGTAGCTTCATTACTTTGTGGCTGGACAGTTTATATACTTTAATGTGCTTAGATATCACTTGGGGCAAATATTTTCTTTTCTTATATCGGAAAACGGATATTTATTTGCAGAATGACCCGGCATTAGCACAAGCTATTCTTGGTGATGACATCAATGAGTTGCAAAATACCTTGCGGTCACGCCATCAACAAAGACTAGAACTAAAGCGCAAGCAGGAAGAAGAGCTTGTGAGTATCTACCACGAGATAGCATTACTTTTAAAGGGAGAATATTAAGGGGGCCCTTATATGTTACCATGTCTTTGGGAACTAAAGCTGAGATTGTGTGGTTTGTTCCTGCATGTTACTCACAGCACAGTTAAAGATTTTCTATTCTGCAGTCTTTTTATCTAAAAAATGATTTAGCCTTTCCTTGCATTTATATAAGTATATATCTCTATGATGTTTCGTGTGCATTGTATTTTCCAAAATTGCACTTTTGACTTATCTTACATATACTTCACCACTTCGAGGCTTGGTAGTTCATGATTTGTTGGTTGTGTTGTGTTACTGTCTTATTGATTAACGTTAGAAAATTCACTAATAAATGTGTGTTTTGCAGGCTCTAATGTATGCTGATCCTTTTGATGTTGAAGCTCAGAAGAAAATTGAAGCTGCAATTCGGCAGGTAAGCATATTTTTTTCTGAAACCTGTTGACCGCTAGGTGATGATTCCTTTCGCATATCAGTGGACAAGTGTGAGATATCATGAACATCATTACAATAGTGACTAGTGTTAAGGAGACATAAAGATTCTTTATTACAAAGTTAAGAATAAACAAGATAACTTAAATATAAATTTTTCTGGCTACCATGCTTGGATATAATGAATTGTTCGTCACAGCATTCTGTTTTTCTACAGTTAAAAAAGTACCTTTTCTGATTTCACTATGATTCATACTTTCTTCTCTACTCACCTGTTAGAATTTATCCAGTTAGATGTCTGATTATGATACTTTAATTTACTTGTCGCATTACAGAAAGGTATTGATGAAAACTGGGAGGCTGCCTTGGAGCACAACCCTGAAGCATTTGCTCGAGTGGTATGTTTTACCTTAGTTTTCTCCTGTTTTACGTTCTATGCTTTGTGATACTTGCTAACCAATTAGTATTCTGAGATATCAGGTTATGCTGTATGTGGACATGGAAGTCAATGGTGTACCTTTGAAGGTATTACTCTTTCACATTTATCCTATATAACCAACATACTGAGAATTAATGCATTCTGGTGAAATTTAAATATTTGAGAACTAATGTAGGCTTTTGCTGCTCTTTTTTTGGGTGCAATGTTTTAATTCTTCTCACTGATTGTAAGGATATGTTTAATGTTCCATTGTTTTTTTTTTTCATCTTCAGGCCTTTGTTGACAGTGGAGCACAATCAACTATCATATCAAAAAGCTGTGCCGAACGTTGCGGGTACACTTGCAATTTAAGATATTGGTTGATTGGAATTATTTAAACTTTTATAGTTTGTATAGTAATTCTGCATGGGAAGACATAAATATTGAATAGCTTACTTTAACATTTTTCTCTGAGACGGGAGAAACTAAATCAGTTTCTCTTGATACTCAACTGAAATGTACACCATTGCATATTTACATATTGTGTATACATCTGACAAAGAAATATCATATGCAGGTTGCTTAGGCTGCTTGATCAGCGATATAGAGGTGTTGCTATTGGCGTTGGTCAATCAGAGATTCTTGGTAGAATACATGTAGCCCCAATAAAGGTATGTTTGATTGATTCATGTACCCATGCCACTGATATTACAGTGTGAGAGAATATATTATTTATATGATACAAAATTCATCACCTGGGTAGAAAACATGAAATTCCAGGTCCCATAGAAACCATGTGACAAGTCCTAGTATAACCCAAGTCTTTGGTGTTCCTTTAGAACCTAGCGATTTCAGTTATTCTCATACCTCTACAAACTTCAATGGTTTTGCAATTTGTGAATCGTGATATGTAATTCCGTACTAATTATTTAGCAGAAGTAGTTTGTAATGTAAATACTGACAGCTTGATTTGGACAGATTGGCCATGTCTTCTATCCTTGTTCATTCACAGTATTGGATGCTCCCAATATGGAATTTCTTTTTGGGCTTGATATGCTGCGGAAACATCAGGTAATCGTGTGACTAAGATCTGGTACATGCTGTTGCATCTAAATCTGATAGTCTGATTACACTTCTTACTGATTCTTTTGTTATCTCACACAGTGCATAATTGACTTAAAAGACAATGTTCTTAGAGTAGGAGGTGGTGAGGTTTCAGTGCCCTTCTTACAAGGTAAGTAATTTTGTATCAACAATGCATTCCATTTTTATAAATGTACTTTTCATGAAGGTTTACTGAAATAAAGCTACCAAAGAAGTTAATTTTTATAGTTCCCTCCTCCTAGACTTTCATCTGGTTATATACTTATGCAGTTTTATAAATTTAGTTCTTCAACCACTCTGCTATTCTATCTTCAGAGAAAGACATCCCTTCACATATACGTGATGAAGAGAAACTATCGAAGCTAGCATCTCTCAGCCAAGGAGCTGCTGGAGTAAGCTAAATTCGCTTTTGCTTTTTTTCCTTGAATTGTGATTTGTAACATCAAAATATCCTTATTTACTCCATCTTATCCAGGAATCGTCAACGGCACGGGAGAAGACTCCTGATGCGCCACCACGAGCTCCTACTACAGGTTAGTTTGCTTTTGCTCTGGTAGGTCTAGGACTGCGTAATCTATGCCATCTGATAACTTCGAGCTAATGAGAAACCTCCATCTTTTCATTTTCTTTCCAGGTGCTCCAGCTGTGAATCCTCCGCAACCACAGGTAGTCGAGATCTCTTTTATTTTTGTTAAACTTTTGTGCATCAAATTGATTCTGACTGTCTATAAAAACATCTACCAGGGAGGAGGAGATTTCGAAGCAAAAGTCACGAAACTGGTGGAACTTGGATTCGACCGGGCATCCGTAATCCAAGCTCTCAAGTTGTTCAACGGGAATGAGGAGCAGGCTGCTGCTTTCTTGTTTGGTGGTTAGAGTCTTGTGATGATGATTTGAGAGAGTTCTTTCTATTGCTCACGACCCTTTCAAGGGCTGAACATTTTATACACAGTGATGGAGGGAGATATCAGTATATCACCTCTTGGGCCTTTGTGAAACTAGAACTTCTGTTTGGCCAATACAGGCTTTTGGTTTAGAGATGATGGTTCATATTTCTCCTTCCATAGAAAACCCATTTTCTTGCCTTCAGTACCTGATACAAAGATCATGTGCATTTCGATCTCATTTGTTTGCCAATGATGTGAATTATTGGTCTCATATATATGGTCCTCACAGGTGAACTGCAATCAATGTACTGTCGATTGTCGAGTTTTTCTGTTACAATGTGTTGTCGATTGTCAAGCCTTTCATCATGTTGTACTCATTTACATCTCATTTCTCAAATATCAATCAAATGGTTATAAAAGATCATGCAAAAAATAAATGTCAAACGTTGATCTACACAAAGAAAGACAACAAACAAATGCGATTCTTTATACTCCATCCGTTTCTAAATATTTGACACCGTTGACTTTTTAGCACATGTTTGACTATTTGTCTTATTCAAAAACTTTTGTGAAATATGTAGAACTATAGGGGCTGTCTATACATCTTGTGACAGAAAATGTCACCCCATATCATTCGAATTTTGGACCATTGGATATGCTTCAAGATTCGTGCAGACCGTTTTAACCTAACTCCTCTCCTCCTCCCCACCGATTCAGATCGCACGCCGCCACCACCCCGTCCTCGCGCGATTCCCTCCACCACCGCTCGCCTCGCCGGCTAGCTGGAAGGGGTCAACGGCGCCGGCGAGGCCCTCTCCCCTTCCCCCACCCCCTCCCCCTCCCCTCCTCTCCTCGAGGTGGCGACGGCGAGGTGCCCCCGCCTCACCGTCTTCCCCGTCTCCGGCGGCTCCCCGCTGTCGGATCCACCAGCACCGGCCGCCTCCTCCTAATCTCACACTTGCTTTGCCCCCGCCGCCAACGCCGGCCCACCGCCCTCCATCCCCGCGGCTTCGGCGGCGCCACCGCCGCCTCGCCGCCCGCCGGAGTCCGCCGCCCGCCGCCGGTCCTCCGCCGCCCACGGCCATCCCTCTAAGCGCCGAGGAAACCCCCCCTCTTCCCCCTCCCCCAACCCCCCTCGGCCCTCCTACCCTCACCCCAACCCCAAACCCTAACCCGTCGGAGTTGGGGTGTCGCCGGCGCCGGAGAAGAAGGGGAACCCGCCGAAGTTAGAAGAGAGAAGCCGACACACGAATCTTGGCATGGATCCAGTGGTCCAAAATATGTAAGATTTCTTCCCCAAATTTCATTCGAATGACATATAGCAATCCCGAAAACTATATGTATACATAAAAATATATTTAACAATGAATCAAATGGTAGGAAAATAATTAATAGTTACTTAAATTTTCTGAATAAGACGAACAATCAAATATATTTAAAAAGTCAACAACGTCAAATATTTAGAAGCAGACGGAGTAGTTAAATTTGTATATTTTTTCTATGATATGAGATGTATAGATTGGATTTAAATTCTAGTGTTGCATGCTTGTGGAGTAACATATAACATTGTACTGTAACGTGTATTATTATTGATTTTCTTTTCTTTTTTCAGAATTTTCCATGACTTTCCGAGCAAATGCACATGAAACATTTAGATTTTCTGAAGCTAAAGAATTCAAACAAACGTTTAATTATGTCTGCTTCTTTACACACCACCACCCCTCCTAAACCTAATTAAATCGATTAATAATTAATCAACCAATACCCTATATATAATTAATAATTATTAATCACGATCATGCCATCGTCGGCGTCGTCGTCTTCACCACGAGAGGCGACCTGACGAACTGCTTGCCGTTGGTCCAGACGAGCGCGCCGAAGGAGTAATCCATGGCGAGCGACGCGTTCGTCACCTCGAACCTCACCTGGAACGTCTTCTTCTCCCCCTTGAGCAAGAACGGCAGCGTGTCCGGGCTCACCGTGACGCGCACGCCGGCCGGCGAGGTCACGTACGCCTTGTAGACCCCCGGCTTGCCGACGTTCTTCACCGTGCGCCGGACGGTGGCCGACGAGGTGAGGTTGACGACGGTGATGGACGGGTAGTTGAGGTCCTGCACCTTGGGCGGCGAGGCCGGGCACCGGAACGGCGCCGCGCCGCCGCCGCCGGCGAACATGGCCATGACGGTGGCGTTGTAGCTGAGGGAGCAGAGGAAGTTGAGGTAGTCGACGGCGGCGAGGTCGTAGACGAGGCCCGGGTTCATGGCGCGGGCCGGGGAGACGTGGCCGGCGCCGAAGCCGAACGGGTTGGCGGCGGCGAAGGAGGAGTTGAGGATGGCGTGCCGCTCGTTGTCCACCTCGACGGCGGTGGTCATGAGCGCGGAGCGGATCGCCGCGGGGCTCCAGTCGGGGCGCAGCGTGCGGAGCAGGCCGACGACGCCGGCGACGTGCGGGCACGACATGGACGTCCCGGACTCGGAGTTGAAGGCGACGCGGCGCTTGTCGAAGGCGAGGTCCGTCGGCGCGCTGGCTCGCGTCCACGCCGCCACCACGCTCACCCCGGGCGCCGTGATGTCCGGCTTCAGGATCCCCGGCGTCACCGTGTTCGGCCCCTGCGACGAGAACGCCGCCATGAAAGGCGCCGGCTTCGTCCCCAGCCTCGTCTCCGGCCTCGTTATCGTCCCCGCCGGACTCCTAAAACACAACCCACACATCAGCGACGCCGGCGAGCAAATCGATCAACGGCGAGCACAATGTTTTCGGCTGCTTGATTACTTGGTGTTCTTGAGGTAGGAGAAGAGGATCTGGCCGTCGCTGAACTTGATGTGGGTGGCGGGGAGGACATGGGCGTCAGCGATGATCTCGTTGCCGGTGGTGACGTCGTTGGCGAGCACCATCCCGGCGCCGCCGGCTTCCAGCACCGCCTCGCCCTTCTCCACCCTCGGGTTCACTCCTCTCAAGCACACCACGATCTTCCCCTTCACCTTCTCCGGATCAAGCGATCCCAGGAAACAAAGCTGCCTGCATCTCATTAATCACACCACTAATCACACACTAATCACAATTAATAATCACTAATGTTAAATATAAAATGAGTTTTCCGCCTTTTTCTCATCAGCTTACTCCCTCCGTATTATATTATAACGTTTTGACTTTTTGAGTAGTCAAACTATTTTAGTTTGATAGTTTATAGAAAATTATAATAATATTTTCAGCATAAAACAAATATATTATCAAAATATATTCGTTATATTTAACGACACTAACTCGATGTTGTAAATGCTATTAATTTTTTCTATAAAAAGATCAAACTTAAAAAGTTTAACAAGAAAAAAAGTTAAAATGATTTATAGTATGAAACGGGTGAGTTGATATCAGAGTAGCTCTCGAGTTTGAATTCAAATTAAATAAAGATTGCATGTTGACTTACGATTCGTTTTGAGTCCGGTTGGGAGAGGCAGCTAGGGAGGAGTCGATCATGGGGAAGGAGCTCGACGCCGGCGAGAGGGCGGAGGCGGAGAGGCTCTGGCCCTTGAGCTTGGTGTCGTTGAAGACGACGTAGGCAGGGAACTCGCGGTCCATGGTGCTCGCGGCGGCGGTGAAGAGCCACGGCGCGACGTTGGAGACGGTGCCGGGGGCGGGGCCCGAGTTGCCGGCGGAGCAGACAACGGCGATGCCGTGGCGGACGGCGTGGAAGGAGCCGATGGCGAGGCCGTCGGCGAAGTAGTCGCCCGCGTCGCCGCCGAGGGAGACGGAGAGGACGTGGACGCCGTCGTGGATGGCGGCGTCGAACGCGGCGAGGATGTCGGCGTCGAAGCACTCGCTGCCGTTGACGGGGGTGTAGCAGACGCGGTACGCAGCCACGCGCGCCATCGGCGAGCCGCCGCTCGCCGTGCCGTTGCCGTAGCCGAAGACGCTGGCGCCGGCCACCGGCGCGCCGCCCGCCGTGGAGAGCGTGTGCGTGCCGTGGCCGTCGGTGTCGCGCGGCGTGTCGAAGAGGGAGGTGTTGAGGTTGCCCACCGCCGACGCGTACCCCTTGTTGAAGAAGCGCGCACCGATCAGCTTCCTGCAATTCAAATTTATATCTATTTATTTTTGTTTATTTCAAATAAAAATCATTTTATTTGTGCATGATAATGTTTAGAAAAAGGGTTTATTCAGTCTCTATTCTACGAAATTATACATTCAAAATTATAAATAATTGGAAGTGTTCAACTTGTTTCAGCTTCCTGCAATTCAAATTTATATTTATTTGTTTATTTTTTTCAAATAAAATCATTTCTAAGGTCCTGTTTGTTTCAGCTTAAGATTATTTTAATCTAGATTATTAAATCAGATTACTCTAAGCTAGATTATAATAAGTTGACATAGAATAAGCTGCGAGCTGTTTGTTTCTCTAGATTATTGGAGGCATCTGTTGGTATTTAGCCACCCAATAATCTAAAAAAAGCTTCTCCACAGGAGATTATTAGATTATAGTAATCTGTCTTATAGATTATAATAATCTATTATAGTAATCTACTTGTTTGTTTCAGCTTACTCCTAATAATCCAGATTATAATAATCTTAAGCTGAATCAAACAGGGCCTAAGTGTTTATGATGTTTATAAAGAAGGGTTTATTCAGTGTTTGTTCTACAAAATTATACATGCAAAATTATAAATAATTGGAAGTGTTCAACTTGTTTCAGCTTCCTGCAACTGGATTTCTCCCCCCACAAAAATCATTTTTATTTGTTCATGATAATGTTTACAGAAAGGGTTCACTGTCTATTACAAAATTATAAACTCAAAACTATAAATTGGAAATATTCAACTGGTTAAAAAAAGAGAGAGATTCAAAAGCGTAAAGAGCTTTATTTTCAGAGAAAAGCCATCCCTGAGGGGTCTGTCTATGAATATGTTTGTAGATGCATAGACTCTTCTGTTAAACAATAAAGACTAAAAGAGTATAAACTTAAGATCAGGAATCAGGACACGACATTGATAAAATGCAAATATATTGTGCATTTCCTTCCCCAAAGTTGCCAAACACACAGTAAACGAAAATGACATTATTTCTGAAGGGGAAAAAAAAAGAAAAAAGTGCACTGAATCTCCGATCTTCACCGAGATAATTCAGATGTCTTCCTTTCGTAGTGTAACTTTGCCATCTCTAAAATAGGTCTAGATTAAAGAAAATTCTACAAGCAGCAACATATTGTTTGTTTCTTTGAAAAGAATGTTTATAATGTTATGATAAAAGAGAAAAATCTTTAATTCTATGTTTTTTATACACTATACGTTCCACATATTTTCAAAAATGTCACTATAAATCTAAAGTGCCTTTTTTTATTCGGTTGCTTGAAAAGTATCTTCCGTACCATGGATGGATGATACTGAATGTTTTGTCTCTCTCAGAATACCCATAACATTCTGGTTATCTTCACATCAATCAGTACAGTACTTCCCTTTTTGTCATTGCCAAGGAATAAACTTTTATTAAGACCAACACTAAAAGGCTAATAACATTAAGTAATCCTGTTTGTTCGGCTTCCTTAAAAAGCCGTATCATTTGAAATATAATGGTGTCAGTTTTTTTTTCAGAGATTACCAAATCAGACCAGAGTATTCAGATATTCAGATGAAGCTTCTCCAAGTTCTTGTTTTTATTTTCCTGACTGAATTTTTATCCTAAAACTGCGGTTGAGACACACCATCACTTGGTGTCATGTCACTTTGCACACCATGCCTGAATGTCTATCTATCATTGCAGGTTGATCAGAGGGGCATCAGCTGGTGGTGGTCTCACAGGCATGCATATTGTGGTGGTCTCAACTCTAAAATTGGTAGTGCTTCACACTACAAAGGAGAAAAAAGTATCTCAACTTTCAGAAAGAAAAGTGCTGAGATGCTCATGCTCCCCTATTCTAGATCTGAACAACACTGCAAAATCTTTCTCCAAGAGAAGTAATTGCCCCATCTGAATATGCACGCTTGTGACATGGAATGCAACTTAGACAAAGTACAAGTTCAGGTTCAGGATAACAATCCAATGCAAGAACTATATCAATGTATATGCATAAAATATGTATGAGAATGAATTGGATTAGTTCAGGTTCAGTCTGTTAATTACCTGTTGCAAGAGAATGCATCATCTTGGCCTTTCTGGCATTCTCCTCTCCACCACGATGGAATAGGCCCCAATCCATCATCCCTGAAGCTCTCTGATTCTGGCCACACACCTTCACATCCAACACAGCCACACAGAGAGACAAAACAATTCATGCCAAATTCCACGAAACAGTACTGATCAAGCTACAATCAGACATGGAAAAAAGAACAGTCAAGGACAGTGATCACTGACATCAGTGTCATGATCAATTGCCTGCTTAAACAGGCAACTACCAAGCCATTGTCTGCATCTAAAATTCTGCTGTTGTGTTTACCAGCAAGGAGCATGGAGGACAAAATGGCAAAGGAAGGAATAAAATTGTAGTGTGGTTGCACAGATAGGCTGCCACTATCAATCACAGTGGCCAAGAAAATCCAAATCATTGAATAGTCCTGCTCATCCTGTTTTAACTTCCAGCTAGATTGGTTGATTTGTTAATTGTTGCAAGTCAAAAACACTGTACCTTCCTTGTTTCTTAATCAGATGGTGTGATGGATGAATGAATGAATGGATCATGTGCTTTCATCTTCTTTCTTAATCATGTGGAGCATCACAGCATGTGCTTCTTGGGTTAGAAGACAGAAAATAAATTTTCATAAAAAAGAGTTTAGGTGCTCAACCATGAATAGTTTAGTTAAGATGGTAATCATTGTCGAAGTATCTCGGACAGGGGTCTTATGGAATGATCTGACAGCATAGCACCAGTTTTTATTTGTCCACTAGCTAGAATATATTATTATCAGTACATAAAATTCTAGGTACGTTGATTTGGGTAAAATTTGGGTATATCTGAATTTTGTTTGCAATCATGTGACTATTACCATAATGATTCCGGCCATTTAATTTTCCAATTTTGACAGTATTTCAAATAACAATGAAATTCCTACTATAGATTGTTTTCTATTGAAAAGAGTCACATATCCAGAAACCAGAGGTACAAACACACTAATTTCTTATAGACTAGGAATTTTAACCGCTCAGTAATAATCTACCGGTGCGTCGAAATTCATGATATGAAAGGGCATTTTTGTCGGAATTTGCACCTAACTGTATCTATTTAGTCATCACTTTACCTTTTAGAGAAAATAGTACTATTTTACAAGGTTACAAACAAAAACGTAATCCATCGCAAACCAGGTCAATTATTATCTTGATACCTTCCATGTCACATCTAGAAAAGGAGATAAAAGTTTTTTGAATGGATCACAAGTAGTTGTAGTACCCTCCTAATGCCGTAATGCCGCTAAATAAAATTAAAAATTGCACCCCGATTGATCAAGTCAACCGAGCAATTATCTCACATGAAAAGATTTCGCGCCTAATTATCGAGTTAATTGATTCTTGTTACCCCTCCATCCCAAAAAACTCAATATATTATTGGATTTGATATTTTATAGTAAAACAAATTTGGACGGAAGTATGTCCAGATTCGTTGTACTAGAAAACGTCATATCTAATACTAGATTAGGTTTTTTTTGAGACAGAGAGAGTACTAGCAGAGAGAATCTTATCGTGTCCGGCCACTGCTCCGACAACGGCGGCTGCGCCGCCACCGACATCGCCGCCATTGACAAGGAAGCTAGAGAGATATGGAGGTGGAGAGGGTATTATAGTATTACCGGTGTCGAGGTTGCCGATGATGGTGTCCTCGCCGAACCTGGCCTTCTTCCAGGCGGCGCCGGTGGGGGCGCCGCCGACGCCGGCGAGGCCGAGGAATTGCCACGAACGCGTCGTGTGCAGCTTGTGGCCTCTGTTCGGGAACACCGACACGACGCCCGGCTTCTCTGCACGCCGTCGCCGTCGCCATCGTCGACGTCGAAGAAGAGTAAAAGAAGAATTAGTCTCTCTCTCACTAGCGAACAAGCGGTCGTCGTCGTCGGCGACGGCGGCGAAGGTGGAGTAACTCACCGGCGATCTTGGCGGCGGCGGCGGCGTCGAGGTTGGCCGCGAAGCCGTTGATGTGGCGCGTGTACGAGTAGAAGATGGCCTCCCGCGCCTTCTCCTTGCTGCATTTCCCGAAATCTCGCGGTCAAAACTCAAAAACCCAAGAAACAATCTCATCGACGTCGTTAATCCGATCGGCGGCCGGCGGCCGGCGGCGGCGGCTTACTCTCCGAGGACGCCGGCGAGGAGCTCGCAGTGCGAATCCTCCGCCTGCCGCGCGAGCGCCTCGACGTCGACGTCAGCGGCGGCGGCGGCGCCCAGCCGCTCGCCATGGGCGTGCTCTCCAAGATACACGACGTACGACTGCTTCTCCCCGCCGCCCGCAGCAGCGGCGCCGACGAGCAGAGACGGCAGCGAGCAGACGAGCAGAGACGGCAGCGAGCAGACGAGCAAGACAACAATGGCGGCGGCGGCCATGGCGGCGAGAGGGATTGAGGTGGAGAGGATGGGAGAGTACACTGTCGAACACCTCCCCCGAGCTCGCGAATTTATAGAGAAGGTCGTTACAAAGAACAGCCTCTTGTGCCTCCTGTAAAATCGTAAATTTTCCTCGTAAATCGCGCGGATTTCCGTTTGAGATTTGTTGCAAAGATTGCTCGAATTAGTTAGGGAAAGGTTTTAAATCGGTTTAAACTGGGGATAAATATGAATTCTTTTTTCCAATCACGGTTTCATTTATTTATGTCATTATAATAAAGAGAAAAAAAAATGCTTCTAGAGAAATACAATTCTTTGCTAAAGAAAAGAAGAAGAGAATACAGTTGCTTTCATCTCATGACCTTGGTGTGTTCTTCAAAGATCGTGCAATTCAGTCGCCAATGATGTTGTAAATACCTTGTTTGTTTGTCCCATGGTTTAAGACTACACTATTTGATACTGTCATCTTTAAAGTGTCTTTTTACCACACAATTTACTATCAAATATAAAAATTTTAATTTAATAATAACGTTATGAAAGGATAAGTTACAACTTACAATGTCATTTGCAAATATACAAATTACATATTTCATACAATGTTTTTAGTTAAAATAGTACGGCAATTAACATGCGCAGAAGAATACATATCACCTTTTTTTAAGTGGGGAGGGAAGAATAACTACTCCCTCCGTTTCATGATGTTTTGACTTTAGCTAAAGTCAAATTTCTTCAAGTTTGGCTAAGTTTGTAGAAAAAAACATTTTCAACTCAAGACAGATTTATTATGAAAATATATTCAACAATTTATTTAATGAAACTAATTTGGTATTATAAATATTACTATATTTATCCATAAACTTTGTCAAATTTAAAACAATTTGATTTTGATCAAAGTAAAAACGTCTTGTAACCTGAAAGGGAGGGAGTTGTTACTAAGGTGACAATGCATCACAAGTTCACAACCCGCTATAAGAGACAGATCGTACGCTAACGAAAAAAAATGTAATCGTTGAATATTCTATATTTTTTTATTACATAAAAGATGCACATATATGTCACCATACAGAATTGTGCTCTCCTTCAACACATGCTAAAAATTTGTAAACATAAGTAAAATCCTATTAAAAACATAAGGACGTAATTAACCAATCGAGTTGGTGTGCTCTGCTCGTAGAGGCGAAAGAGGACGTAATAGAGTGGCTCATGATCAAATTAGATCAATTAGCTAGGACTAGACATAGTTCACTATGGAGACTAGATGCTTCAACTTGTATTCATGGACTTGTCCAATAAGATTGTAACCACTCTGTTAAATTAATAAAATAACCTTTTTTCTTAAAAAAAATTCATATGGACGCTAGGGTAATATTTGTGTCGGTTGAGTACAAATAATTAACGATATCAAGCTCTTGCACCGACATGTAAAATGTTCACTTGTATCTCTATTGATTTCTAAATCATTGAACTACCTTACCCTCCTTTTGGTGTGGATATATAAATATCTCCATCAAATATTCAAATAAATTTTTAAGAGGAACAGGAATGTACCACGTCGTCATATATTGATAGCCATCTGCAAATATGTTGAGAAGGTTTTTGAACCGTGCATTCAAGGGATATATAATCGAATACATCTCTGTCTAATGGATCATGCGACTTAATACTCCACAATCATGCTTTAATTTGGATTTGATTGATCTGTTGCTTCACCACGAGGTTTTCCTTTCTTTGCCATCACATCGCCGAAGATTTGTGTGGCTACTTGATATATTTGACGGTATTTGAGGAGATACCTCGTAAAATTTGCTAAGATTCAATACTTCAAACCTAAGGTACCAGATTTTTTATGTCAAAAATTTGCAAATTTTACATTATGGAAGTATGTTGTATATATTTTGAAGAACCGTAAAATTTATTTAGTCATATATGTATCTCCGTCAAGACGGCTGAAAATTACGAAGTTACAGCTAATAAGTAGCATTTCATCAACGATGTAATACATCAAGTGGACGGCAATGGCAAGGTTAACAAATGGTTCAGTTTGTATTCTGGGAAAACAAAATGGACGCTAGCTGTACAGGCTAAGGTAATTTAGTCATAAGAGAGTGACCTATTAATACCTACTCCCTCTGTCCAATGGTCTGGGGATGAATCTGGATGAGGATTGGTTTTTTAAGAAAGAGTATATATAGAATCGTATTAAATCACTTTATTGCCATGTAATTAAGGTGACGATATCCAAGTAGAAGCATACAACTACAAGTGGCCCAAGTATATGATAATGGTGTACTATATACTCCTTCCATCCCAAAATATTTGACACTGTTGACTTTTTTAAAAATGTTTGACCATTCGTCTTATTCAAAAAATTTAAGTAATTATTAATTATTTTCCTATCATTTGATTTATTGTTAAATATACTTTTATGTATACATATAGTTTTACACATTTCACAAAAGTTTTTGAATAAGACGAACGGTCAAACATGTTTAAAAAAATCAACGGCGTCAAACATTTAGGGAAGGAGGGAGTATATTACAATTCTATATATTTATATCAAAATAAGCTGTCAAAGTCTCAATGCTGTACATTTTAAGTCATAGATATAGCTGTGCCATGGCAATATCTCCAATCACGAAAAAAAATGTTGTCAACATTGATATATACAATCTTCAAAATTCATATCCGATCACTTTTTTTTAATTATAATATGCTTAATAAACACAATGAAAATAGGCACTCCAGGAAAAATTAAAGGCAATGACCCTTGATAACATCAAGGCATCAACAGTCAACACAGCCACATTATATTGTAGAATTTTATTAGTTCAGTTTTTTTATCCCTCAGCAAAGAGAGCCAGTTATTGGAGTGTAGCTATTGCATTGGTGCCGGCCTTAGCTTGTTCAAAATTTCAGAGGTGTTCAATGAATTCTTCCCAAAGTCAATGAGGGAAATAAAAGAAATAGGAAAAAACAGTACAGCACTCTTGCCTATTTCTGCGAATTTTTTTAAAAAATAATACGATTTTAATAGAAAATCGCAAAAATATAGGTCGGTTCGACGAAATCGTAAATTTAGCACCCTGTCGAACAACCGTGTCTCGATAGAGGTACTTATCGAACTATGGCAGTTTGACATGTACCTGTCAAACTGCCATAGTTCGATAGGGTAGTTGGTCCAAGGGAAAAAATAAAAAAAGGACAGTAACAGTGCCTGGCAGGACATATCGAACAAGCAAACTTCGATAGGGTGGCATGTCGAACAGCCCAAGTTCGATAGGGTCTCAGCTACAGTGTGCTACAGTGTTTTTCCTCTTTTTAAAAATTATTTTATCATCTGTCGAACTGCCGGCACCCTGTCGAACTGCGGTTGTTCGATAGGTACCCTGTCGAACCACGGATATTCGATAGGGTGCCAAACTTGCGATTTCGTCTAACCGACCTATATTTTTGCGATTTTCCTTTAAAATCGTATTATTTCCAAAAAAAATCCTATTTCTGCTTCCATATCGTCCTTTCCAAGAAATTAAAACCTCATGAATTTCATGTGGAAATTCTTTGCCACACACTGCGTTAAAACCTCATGAATTTCATGTGGAAATTCTTTGCCACACACTGCGTTAATAAGTGTAAATAATTAATTTTATATGTAGACAAACATTGGAAAATCTTAACGCGCGATTCCTTAATTACTGTACTGAAGCTCCAGCACGAGTGTTAGAGCACCCGCAATGGTAAAGGAAGGTGTTATCTATAAAACATGTACATCTCAGCAATAGACTAGATTAATAGTAAACCACTTCAATGGTATGTCTACATGGGTATCTATGGCTCTCTAATCAATTGCCTCGTTTTTCTCTATAGACTATCTCTATGTTAGTAGATAGCTTCTCTCTCTTCATTTAATCTCTTCTAAGTAGAAAAATATGCTGACATGGATCTCTTGTAGAGAGCTTATAGATAATCATTGTGGGTGCCTTTAGCCGTTGCTCCGTAATCCACAAAGCTAGTAGGATATTCTGACTGAATTAATTAACATGCAGTAGTATATACTCCATCTGTCCTTATATTTTTAAGGATTAGAATATGTCACATCTCTCTAAAAACCTTTATATTTTAGGACGGAGGGAGTAGTATGAATGATGGATCCTACGATATGTGGCCGACATATATGGATTATATCCTTTGCTTGGAGCGCATTATTAATCACAAAGAATATATATGCACGCAATTGATGCTAATAAGTAAAAAAAACATAAAAAGGATATCGCTCGATGGCACATGCTGGCTATTAAATTTGCTGGAATTCTCTGAATTTTTATCTATACCTTTTTATTTGTAAATAATGTCGCCATTCAAAACACTCTATACATCCACACATTTTCTTCAAAAATGTATCTACACATGGTCCATGTAGTCCCATCTCTCCTCATCCCTCCAAGAACAGGCAGCTAGCTGAGATCATCGTAGCCTTAAAAATAGAGATGTACTCTCTCCGTTCCAAATTATAGCAATACTGGACTGAACGAGGCACATTCTAGTACAACGAATTTGTACAGAGGTATATATGTCTAGATTCGTTATAGTAGGATATGTCTTATCCAGTCCTAAGTTGTTATATTTTGGAACGAAGAGGGTATATATAGTTGCAGCCTATTTCATCTTGTGCTCAAACCAAACATGTCTACGATGCCGAGATAATCAACAAGGGGTGCTGCTACAGTAGAGAGTAGAAATCTCCTCTCCATGGTCAATAGATCCTGATCTTCCCTTGATGGAGCCGCAATGCGCCGTCTTCAACGGTAGGAATGTACTAGTAGCTACTACTAGCTAAGAGCTAGCAACACACATGCAGCACGCCTGCAAATTAATTAAAGTGTGCAACCTAGCTGGCTACTGACCAATGCGAGCTAGAAGAGTAGTGGAATTGTGGAAGAACTGTGAATTATCACCATGAATTCAGCTAGCAATGTGGATTACGACTGCACCGTTGCGCTGACCATACCACCACTCATTCGTTTCACAATACTTTAGGTTAAAACCAAAGGATCCTTTT